AAAAACGCATTGCCAACCATGGGAAAGGATGTATAACACAAACTCATGAATTTCAGACTCTGACCGAGATATGTAAATGCCATGGCGCTGTTGCGTGTTACCTTCGTATGCGACAAATCGAGATACGCGAGATTATTTAGATTCTTGAAAGTGTCTTTATGTATTTTAACACCATAAACGAGATGCCACACAGCATTGAGTGTGAGATGTGTTGTCCTATAGTCGATTTCCAATAAATTAGTGAAGGATAAATCAAGATACTCCAGATGGGGTAGCAGCTGAAAGGTGTCAGATGGAATGTCGAGCATTTTATTGTGCGGCATGAAAAGCTTGCGGAGCCCAGTGATGTTCTGGAATACTTCACGTGCAATGAACTGTATGTTGCAGTTGCCGATGTCCAATTCAAGCAAGTAAGGCATCTGCGGAAAGGTAGCCCACGAAATACCTTCGTCTGTTTGCCCGAATGTGGAAGAAAGACAAAGAAGAAAAAAACAGTATTGCTTAAGTTAACGATAGATAAGTTTCATGTTTAAAGTGTATTCGAGTATTAAAAATGTGTTTGTTCCAATGAATGTAAACTACTGAAGGAAGATGACTTAAAATGAGACCACGATATGCGACCGACTTTCTCAGTCAGGCTTTGAAAGCTCACTTTCAGTTTTCCCAAATCTGATCATCTTTCTCCACAAGAATTCACAAGGACCGGGTTAGTATCAAAGTCTGACAGTATTACCCGAATAAGAAGACATGTGAAGCGTTTTCCTTTGCTGAGCCTAGGATTAGGGGTATTTTGGATGTCACCTTCTCACGTCACAAGTGATAAAGACATCAACTGGAAAAGGATTGATTTTAAAGTACGTAGGGCCGACCGCCTACAATTTCCCTGAACGGATTGATTAGAGCTGGAACTAATATGCCATATACTTCGACAGAGACTCGGTGAACCTACTAAACTAATTTGGTACGTTAATGAGTTTTGATTTGTTGTTTGGCTGTCATATTCATATTTACTAGCGGTATTGCGGATCATCGATAGTAGGAAAATGGCAAGAGAATACTATAGAAGTCCGTACTGCTCCCAAGCATATATTCCAGCCACTGAGTGGACCCTTTATCGAAAATGTATAACAAATTGAGACAGTCGTCAAAATTTAGGCAGACACCAATATGGATTATGCTGCGATGGTATATAATGAGCGGGAAAGTGGTTTGTTGAAGAGTGTTATATGAGAGCAGCTGTGAGAGTCGAGTGGCGAATACATTGGCTGCCTGTTGTGAGTGCAGCATTTCGGCGTTGAGTTTTCCTAGCATTGTTGGATGCACATTTTTTTTACTGCACAGATGCGGTCGCGTATCTTAGCATCAACAAAAAAGTGCTCCGAGTCAATATTTGACCCTCGGAGTGTGCGTACATACGTCTAAAACACTGGAAGCATGCCTTACGTCTATCACACCATAAACGATTTGGTTTTCTTCGGGGTTGGATCTGGACACAGCCAAGCAGCTGGATTGACCTTTTTATGATTGATCCTAGTATCGCATACGCGATCAGCCTCAGTCCGTTATCGGACGTTTCGTCGTGAAGGCTCAATTTTCCGATAATGGCGACAAAGATCTCTTCCTTGCCCAACTTGACATTGAAATATCCATACACGATTTTGATTTCCGAATCTTTGTGATGCTTGCATCAATACAGACGCCATCCTGCAGCCACACCTACTGGTAATCAGACGCCTGCAGACTAAAGAGAGCCCTTAAACCGAATAAGTCGGAGTGGCACAGCAAAGTTCCCTCTCTCTCTGAAGTGACCAAAGGCTCCACTCGGATTGGTTACAGCAAACGGCGGGTTGCTCACTTTGCCCAGAATGCACGAATGAGGACGAAGAATCTGGTTTGAGTATAGTCCTGTGATTGCATACTCAGTTCAACGACTATACCCAATGCCCGATAATTTAGAGTCATTGATAATTCTACCTCTTTGATAATCAAGATAGTGAGAATGGAATCAAAAGGAAGTGGAATTAGTTTTTAATTATTAAATTCCCTTACTATAAATAACAATCGGCCGCTGTGGTGTAGTGGTAAGCCACGTGCCGTTACATTTTCTACATATGTATATATAACACTGTATGGCATTATCAACTTTTTTTCTGGGTATTAGACCAAATCAATTTATTTAGGAGATTGAGTCATAGGTAATAAAGCAATTTCTCCATTTTTCGAAGTTAGCCTCCGAAATCGAGATATGGGACTTCGAAGTTCGAATTCGGACCTTTGGTAAAAAACTATATTTAATTATTGCATGTAAATAACTAAAAATATAGACGTGGTCCTCCTTTTGCTCTTATTTAACTGGCGTATAACTTTTTTTGTGAAAACTTATATTACAGGTGCTATAAGGGGTCAAAGTTCAGGTCTTCGAAAAATTAAATTCCTTATATTTCAAACAATTTTGAACAAATTTTTAAAAAATTTACATTGTTGAAAGGTGATTAACCCCCCCCCCCCCTTTCTTCTGATATGCATTTTTACATACCTCGTATATAAAAATTTTAGAAAAACACCATTTAAATTAAAAAAAATTCTTTTTTTATGAAAAAAAATATTAACAATTTAATATTGCTAATTAATTAAACAAAAAAATTAGTAACCAATTTTTAAAAAATTGGTGTCGTTGTAAACATTGTTAAGATGGTTAAATCCCCTTTATTCTGATATGCATATTTGTATACTTCGAGTATAAGATTAAAAAAAAAAACTCATTTAAAGGAAAAATACATTTTTTTATGAAAAAAATATTTTAAACAAAAAAAAAAATACTAACCGATTTTTAGGGAATTACACTCCTTTCTGATATGCATATTTGTATACTTCGTATATAAAAATGTAAGAAAAAATATTTTAAACAAAAAAAAATACAAATCGATTTTTAAACAATTAGTATCGTGTAAAGAGAATTAAACTCCTTTCTTCTGAAATGCATATTTGTACACTTCGTATATAAAAATTCGAGAAAAAACACTTAAAAGGAAAAATACCAATTTTTTCATATAAAAAATATTTTAAACTAAAAAAATACTAATTAGAAACACAATTGAACACTTTATTTAAATAAAACAGATAATTACCTTTAATTTTTATATATAACCTGTTATATATAAAAAATTAAAAACCATGGTGTTTTTATATTTTTATATGCCTTAGACTTCTGTTACATATACCTTTGCTTTATTTTTAACAGGGCTGTGGGTAAACAGGAACGAATTAGCGCTTAAAACACTACTAACTGTTTGCTTTATTTAAATACGGTATTCAATTGTATTACTAATTAGTATTTTTTTTTGTACACAAAAAAGGTATTTTTTCCTTTAAATGTGTGGTTTCTCAAATTTTTATATACAAAGTATACAAAAATGCATATCACAAGAAAGGGGGGGCCAATCACTTTTACAACGATATGAATCTTTTAAAAATCAGTTCAAAATTTTCTGAAATATTAAGTTTTTAATTTTTCGAAGATCTGACCTTTGACCCGTTATAGCACTTGTAATATAAGTTTTATAAGTGTACAGTGTAATTAATACACACAAAACCAAGAAATCACTTCTCCCTTTGTTTAAATTTATATCAATCATTTAGGGATTATTTTAACTAGACAGAATGCGACAACCAACCAGACCATGTGCAAATATAAAACTTCCTATAATGGCACACATGTGTATGTATGTAGTTAGATTTGATGATAAGCTAACGGGCGATAGCGATTGCTAAAAAAACTATATTCTTTCAAAGGTGGGCAACTTTAATTAATTTTATGTTTATTTCATCAGATTTTATTTATTTAGTTATTTATTTATGTTTATATTAGACTTAAAAAAATCCCCTTAACTTATAAATATCTACTTATAAAGAAGGATAAAAGATATATCGTTAGCTAAGAGTGAAAACTTTTTAATGGTGATTTCGTTTCTACCATAAAATGTCGCCTTTTGATTGCCGCTTTCTCTTTCTGTGTTCGATTTTTAATTAAAGGCAAAGGGTGTGAGAAAATTTTATGTTCGTTTCTTAAAATATCACACTCTTGTAAAGAAAAAACCGCACATTCTCTGCCCTGTGAAGCTTTGTCAGGGGAGATGGTTGCCCTGAAAATTAGATGGTTTTTTGAATCGACAATATTATGAAATGCGTGAGCTAGACAAGGACAAGAAGGCAAAACATGACTTTCTACAGGGTTGAGTGTAACATCAAACACATTTTGTACCGGGGAAGGGCAACAGTTTTTGGAAGAAATGAAATCACCATAAGTTGGTTTTTTTTTAATTTTATAGAAGAGATTTTCTGTGCTTTTTCTGAACTTGGCAAATTTTCGGTTCCCTGAAACGTTTACATTTTCATTTCATCGTTTCCACAGCAACTCATTCGAACATTTTGCGATTTACGAATAAACATACATACATATGTATGTAAATTTGAGGGTATTGAAGGAGATCCATCTGACCCTAGATAGAAGCTTTCAGTGCACTTGTGAACCTTCCCAAGCATCTTCGAAGCGAATTCTATGTCATTTGCCACTACGCAGAGATTAGCCTTTGTAGGAATTATCGAAGTGAGTGGATCCTTATATTAAAACATAGTCACTCATTGCTCTCTCAACTTTCGAGGTCAAATACACATGTCTCCTCGAGTGTATTGAAAGGCTTAGTGCGCTGGCTGAGGACAATGCTATCCAACTGATATGGGTACCAAGGTACAGATTACTTATAAACCTACTCTAGGGTAAGGTGATTGCAGTCTAAGAGGCCACTTCGACAAAGCGATCTAAGTCGCTTTTGTCGCTCCGCCAAAAAGACCACATTGCACCTTCCCATAGAGTTTGACACCATTTCACGGGGAAGGAAGAGGTGAATAGGACATCTATGGCCAATACATACACTCCCTACCCCCGGAATTTCTTCTGAAATATATAAAGGGTATTCTCGAAGTCTTGCAAAGCCCTGCACGGTTTGCAAAGCTGTCTCATAGGAAAGCGGTTTTTATCGTGTGCACCAAGAATACTCCTATTTTTTAATGAAATATTTATTGCGAAAACATTGATAGCTTGTTTGGAATTTTTATATGCAATTTTTGGGTCAAGACAATACGTATCTACTAGATACCGATAGTGGCAAAACTCGAAAAAAAAAGTTTTTATTGAATAAATAAAAATATAAATACTCATACATAAATGTTACGTTTCGTAGGTAATAAACTGAGGGTATCGCTGGTTATAAGTACATAAATATACAGGTGTATATACATATGCAGGCGTGTTAGTTTATTCGAGGTTAAGATTTTTTTTTGCTAATTCATATCCGATACTTGAAATAATGAAGTGCTTGCGAGTAGATTCAGTATTAAGTGGTTATTTAAAGAAAGTGGGTGTGCGCCTAAATTGTGTATAAGTTACAAAAAGTTATTTGGATAAAAAGAAGTGACAAAGTTGAGCACGAATAAAGGAAATAATAAAATATTTACACCCAAATTCATAAAAAATAAAGAAGACTTTAACTGCTTTTTATATCGAAAATTTGTATGAAAATGTCACTTTATAAAGCTCTATAAACCTATTTTATTTTTTATGAATAAGGCCATTAGAATATAAAGTAAAAACTAAGCAATACTTGGTTTTTCGTATATAAAAAAAAGTATATATATTAATGAAAATAAAATGAAAGAATAATAAAAAATTTAACACCATCAAATCAAAAGCTAAATTAAAATTATTTTAGAGCTTAATAAAATTACTACGAACACCTATATAGAACTATAAAATAAAGTATGACATCAAAACATGGTAAAATAAAATATTAAATAAAACTAAAGCAAAAATTAAAAAAAAAATTAAATTAAAAACTTTAAATTATAACATAAAAATCGAGTAATAAATAAAATAAAGTAAATTTTTTTTTTAAAGGCAAATTTTAAAATTGTTGAAAGCTGTTCTATATAAAGTAAATTAAATTTTATAAAAAAATTAAAACGATTATATATAAAAAAAAAACAAAATTTATCATAACAAAAACAATACTTTTTTTTAATTAGAGAGATTTTTTATTGCCGAATTTCCAGTAGCCAGTGAAACGATAAAAAATGTATGTCATAAAAAAACTGCCACGTGGAAACAGACATAATCAGGCATGGTTTTTTACGCGAACACACCTGAATTTTGGACGCCTTGGAAGATAACATTATGCGAACCATTGCGAAGTTACGGCCATCATTGCTTGCAAAAGTGGTCGAAAACTAAACTTTCCGAAATTATATACCAAACACTAACGGCAAAAAGTTATCTTTTTAAAAAAAAGTAGATTTTTAGTTTGAA